TCGCGCTCGCGCAATGTGCTCGTCGCTTCGCCGCGGCATACGGTCTCCAGAGATTGCATTTTTTTAACCTATATCGCCAGGCGACGCTATGCTAAAAATATCTCACTTGAATCTACACATGTGGGGTTCTCCGGTCCTTTAATTGTTTCTTTTCTCGGATTGCTTCTCGATGTATTTGTTTCCTGCATTGCAAGTATGGTAGAAAGACGATTCTGGTACACGTTGGGAAAACCGCGCTCAGGCAGCATGGCCGACTGGGTGCAACACTGAGACAGGGTTGTTTTTCCCTTGACAGTAGATGTGTTAGATGTGCTGATCACTGCAGCTGTCGTTCCATGTCATGAGCATCAGTGACGTCATCACCCCAGCAGGCTGCAGGCATTTTGCGAATGAATCTTTACCTGGACGCCTTCTCTTGACTGTTCTGGAAGTATCTTTGCCATGCAGTAGTGCTTCTTGAGGCTTTAACAAGAAGCAGGCCGGGGGCAAGCTTTGAACGCGCGCTGCGTTTCTTCGGGCATCAGGGTGGGCTGCGATTGCATGAGATCCAGTAAGTTTTTGTACGGGCAGGGGACACTAGCTATTCTTTCGTTTTTGAGTCTAAGACCTGGCAGGGTTTGATGGCTGCAAGCTTCTGGCCCAGAGTTCGTGCGCTCTCTCACTCTGTCGCTCTCTCTCCTCTCCATCTCCCTCGCCCTCTCCCTCGCCCTCTCCCTCGCCCTCTCCCTTCAGCTGACTGTAGCTTGAAAAGCTGACAAACCGCCCTCCCTGTCTCTTCACGCCACGATTCAACGCTGCTTCTCTTCTATGCTGTTATGAGACTGGCGTGAGAAGATGGGAAGCGTCAACATCAAAGCTGTACTTTCGAAGATCCGACTTGGCAAGCCAGAACTATGGACCTGTGATTTTAAGCTATGGTTTCATAGATGAAGAATGCCATTCTAGCTTATACATGCGACAGAATTTGAAATCTGCCACCATATGGCAAGCGTTTTGGCGAAGGAGCGGGGTCCAGATCTGCCCGAGGCCTTCTGAGCTTTCTGAGCTTTGATGTTTCGACCTGCCAATTAAGCTGTAGGAGTTGGGACTCCGAAAAGCTGTATCACGCGGTCAAGAGTTTGTCTGAGGACCTAGCAGATTACAGGAACTTAGGAACCAGTTCCTTGGCAGCTCCCTTTCTACAGAGCAGCGACTTGATGCGGAAGCCCACCAATGCTGAATAGCTCTTACCGCTCGCAGCCCAGAGAACTCCCTGCGTTGGGAGACCTTGCCGGGAAGCGCAGGGCTTCCTTGGCACCTTATTCCAAGAAGGAAGATGCCCTGGTGACGGCAAGCCACAGCCAGCAGCGAATACCCTTGATTTCCCTCCCACGACCCAAAACACGTGTGACTGCCCTAGCTGGAGCAGCTTGTTAGTGTGAAGCAGAGAGTGCTGATGCTAGCGTGACCTGCCATGGGCTCAACCCACAACTGCTCATCTACCATACCTTACGTGAATGTTGTAAGGTGGAATCCATAGGTTGACGTATTTGGAAGATGTCTTGCCAAAGATGCACTAGGGAAACTAGCACGCATCAGTCCAGTGCTACATGGCCACACCTGCACCAAGCATTCCCAAGCCGTCTTTTCAGCGTGACTTTGGGGATTGTGGAGATACCACAGCAGAATTATGGAATCATAGCTCACTCTAAGCTAAGCCACGATGTAACAGGAGTACAGTATCCTCCAGAATCCGTAATCCCCAGCATGCTTCAGAAACATGCCTTTCAGCGAAATCGCTGGCATGTCTGGAACTGTGGAAAGTGTCTTGTGGGGTTAAACGGTTCAAGCGAATGTGTAGTTCTTTAGCAGGAAATCTTGCAACAATCTAGGTTTGCAGCATTGACTACAGGACCAATACCTTCACTAAAGGGCCATTGACCTTGCGGCTCCGTTGTTCGTCGATCTTTCGCGCCAGTTCGGGCTGGCCTGTGCAAGTTTCCCGCGAAGCGGGCTTGCGTTTCGTACTGAAGGACCTCGTTGTGCTCCTGGTTGTAGCCTTTGGCTTGATCCTTGAGTCGTCAGCAATTTCGTGAAGGATCTTGATCCTTCGTTCCAATGATGGTGGTCTTTTCAGCCCAGGAGCAAAATTCTTAAGCTCTCTTATTCACTCCCGCCCAGTTGCGTTGTTTCACGGCAAAATGGAGCATGCTCTTGCACAGAATTTAGATGAATCTAGGGACGCCAACATTCAAGCAACCCTAGACACACCGTTGTGTTTGAGGTCTCCGGCGAAAGGCACCCAAAAAGCATTTACAATCCATGGGCCTTCATGTTCACCATGTCATTCTGCTGTGGTTTTTCTACGAGCCATCACAACCCTGCTCTTTTGCGTAGCTCAGTTTTGACCATGTGCACAGTTCCACCTACGTCGCAAACCCTCGCCTGCCTTTTGATAGCTTTCCCGCAGAAAAAGTGCAAGGACAGTTTTCCATCTAAACAAAACGGTTTCTGTGCACTCTCAACCCTTCTATGTCAGAGGTTCCAGCGGTCGAGCGCGATGATCTTCCGTAATCGTTTGTTATTGGGGCCTGCATTCCAAACCATGTTTCCTTGCTTGTCTGCTTGCTTTTTTCGCAGCAGCAGGTTCCGTGGCTGCTTTCAAGCTGTTCAGGCTTTAGCTCACCCAGATGTTTTCTGCATATTAGGTAGGACTGTTGGAGTAAATCTCAGTTGACAAATTTAGCTGAAGCTGCAAGCATTTCGTAGCTGCTTTAGTTCAATCTCCTGTCCTAGTTCAGTCATGGGCAACGCCTGCCCATCCAGGAGGCACGAAAACCCGCAAATGTGTAGTGCAGAGCCTGTGCTTGCAAATCTCTCTCAACTTCTGAAATCTCGCCTCCTAGTCTCTGCTTGCCCGAGGAGTCGACGTGATGACCAGCCCGTGTATCCCAAGGCAGTGTGTGTCAGGGCTAAGGCGGCTTTGCTTACAAGGAGAGCCTGAAGAGATGCCAGAGTCTGCTTCGTGTCTCAGGAAATTGTTTCACCTGAGCTGTGAGAGTACCGATATAACCGATGCCGGGAATCGACTTCGAATCATGTCCTTGTGCAACACACAAAGAACACAGCAGTGCGCTTGTCATTCAAAGGAAGCCGGCTCGTTAAAAAGATGGTGGCCTCAGCTTCTTGTTGCTTAAGACTGCCTGAAGATGCCTGACGTGTTTTTGTGGCCTTTGAAAGTGCGGCTCTCACCAGAATTATTTTGTTAATCCGCGGTGCTGAGCCATACTGGTCTTCATTTTTCCTACCTGCTTGCATTACCGCATAAGGGCGTTGCCGATCAAAGGGTGCGATTTGCCAGCGCGAGACGGGCAAAAGCTTGCAAACGGGAAAGTTTTCTAAGGGACTGAAACAGCGCTGCGCATGTCTATGTAGGGCTTCAAACCTTTCTCTCAAGGGAACTGGGGAACTGGGCAGCTCTGGAAAAAGCTGGCGTCAGGTCACCATGCAGATGGTGCATGATCGGGGTCTTGTGGTCATCATGGGCAAGGCAGAGCTCGCTGACGCTCGCTGACACCTGAACGTGATGTCGCCACAATTCCTAAGTGAAGCTTCAAGCTAACTCATCTAGCTTTGCCATGCAGCCGTTGCAAGGCAACAGTCTCTCAACCCACCTTTGCAGAAGCCCACATGTTTTAATTGATTTACTCACCACTTGGGTTTCCGCAACACCTAAATTATCCTTCAAAGAATCAAGCGAAGGCGTACTTATGCAATCATCAGGATGATCGGGGATCCGTTCATTCGTGGCCAAAAATCAAGTCAATAGATGTGGTGTGGCTCCAGGCCTACAATCTGAAGGATTATGTGGCTAAGCATCCTGGTGGATCTGACATCCTCCTTGGCATGTTTGGGAGAGATGCGACGGCTCCCTGGGCTGGACTTTACAAAGCTTTTGTAGTCTGGCTGCAGGCCAGGCTTATCTGTCAGAATTTTTGAGGTCGAGTTCGAGACCATGCGCCATTCACCGGCAGCCCTGGACCAGGCTTAGCTGAAACACGGAAGTAAGTTGACATTTTCAGAGATGCCCCCCCCAGCGTTGTCAGGTGAGCCACCTCTTTGTGGGTGCCGTGGACAGTCATGCAGATGCAGAGGACATCGCAGCGTCTCGGCTTGGGCTTACGCCTCGGAGCCAGATGTCTCAAATCTAGGCGACAGATGCGACAGCAGGAGGCTCTGATGCCTACACGTACAAGCCATAATATGCCATAATTGTCTTTCAAGAAGATGCTTTGCCAAGGACCATGCCAATGGCAGGAAAAGGCTGTCCTTGACAGGCGTTGCCTGGGAACTGGAAGTTGCCGTGGATGCTAGGACACTTTTGCCACAGGGGATCTTGCTGTGCCAGGTGGACGACAGCACTCGCGGGCCAACATGCAAGAAAACAGTTGGTGGGATGTCGGCGAGCGAGGCGGCTTGCTATGAGAATGTCTAATCGGAATTTATTCGGAATTTATTGGGCATGTCTAGGATGGGACTTCTTCAAGCTTTTTGAAGCAAGGTTGCTTTGAGACAAGGCTCGGAAGGGAGAGGGAGAGGGAGGTAGCCATTTTGGCTCAAGCCACTACCACATCAAGCCCTCCTCCACACTCCGTGAGCCCAGCCTAGGAAACTCCCTCCTTCTGATAGTGCGAGGACGGGCTGTAGAGACTTGATTCCCCTGCCTACTGCCTCCATAAGCAATCGAGCAAGAGGGCAAGATCGGAAACACTACGCGTCTACAACGTGAGCCTTGGAAACACCATCCGCTACCTGTTCGGTCCACTACGGCATCAGTTGCTGCACGACTGCCCTACCTAGACCACTTGAGCCCCCTGTTCACGGTGATTCTGCACGCCACCCTGGCTGGGAGACAAAGTTCGTCTACCTTAAGTTTGTGACTCTGGCAACGACTCCATCCTCGCAAACTACACAATGGCGAAAAAGGAACAACAAGGGGCAGCACCAACGCAGGCAACAGTTGACGTGGAACTGGACAGTAGCCCTGGACATAAAAGGCGCTGCTCAAGCCCTACACCACCTTCGTCAGGTACACCGCTTACCCTGGAAGTCTTCCAGTCAACGATACAGCCACTCCTGACCCAGATCAACAACATAGACAGCAGGATGGGCAACATTGACACCAGAGTGGGACAAGTCGAAAATGCTTTTGCGGAGCGCATGAAAGAGCAGGTGTCCTTGCTCACAGCAATCACGCACACACAGACCCAACACACAACAGACTTGGCATCGCTCCAGCAACAAGACAAGCACACACAGGCAACCATCACATCAATACAAGACCGCCTCACAAAGCTGGAAACTACGCCACCAACGCTCCCAGCCAGGGCAAATTCCAGCACCACAGCGGAAGAGAGGCAACCAGCACTAATCATGGGAGGTTGGTCAGACGACCAGGATGCAACAGTGACACTACAATTGGCGAAGGATGCGGTCACCTCTCTACAGCTGGATGTGGATATGGAGGAGGCTTTCGTGCCCGGGGTGAGAAGAGGCTACTTGGTGATACCATACACCGCCCGCAGAGCAGAAACCGAAAGCAACATGCACAGTCGACTTGCAGCAGCCATCCAAAAAGTGAGGCAAGCCAATCAGGCCACAGGGGCAATCAACCAGGATGGATCGGTCAAGCGTTTGTGGATGGCATACTCGCAAACTCCAGAAAGGAGGAGAAGGGCAAGATACGCTGGCAAAGTCAAAAGGTTGATGCTCGAGCAGGGGGGAAACAAAGACAGTCTACAGGTGGAGTTTGCCACTGGGACTTTGTGGTACCAAGGCCGGCGCATAGCCAGCGCAACAGCACCACCACCGCAAGGCAACAACACCACCAAGTGCGCTCTGGGCTGGGTTGACGCTGAGGCAATCAGCGGTTTCACTCGCAAGAGTAAGGAAACCATCCTTACAGCATGGAACGTCCTCATAGACTCACTGCTACAGCAGTGAAAAAGGACAAGGAAGCCGGCGACACAGGAGACAACCAAGTTTCACTGCCACATAGGCACATGGAACCTTGGAGGGAAAGCTCTAAGAGACATTCCTCAAATGCTCCATGAATTAGGCAATCACCCTCAACTGGGCAAGCCAGCAGTGTGGCTTCTTCAGGAGGTCTCGCCCGAAGTGGAAGGCCTGCACTGTCACAGAGAGCACAAATGGACGGTCCTTGCAAAAAAGGGGCCTTCGGAGTGGAGAGGTACAGGCATCGCCTTTCACGCAGATGTCATCACGCACATTGACACAAGCGAAGCAAGCATCGGAGCAACTCTTCACACAACTATGGGAAGCAAACTCCACGTCATCGCGGCACACCTTCCACATCATGCCACCCTTGACCAGACTCACCACATCCTGCAAGCTTGGCAAGCACAACGCCCACAGCTGCAGCGCCACCCATGCATCATCGGAGCAGACTGGAATGAAACCTTCCACACAGCAAACCAAACAGCCACCACAGCCAGAGGGGAGATCATATTGGACTGGCTCTCGCAACACAATCAGCACCTGCCACACCAACAAGACAACACGCCGTCATACCACCCGTGCAACACACAAATGCGAAGTCGGCGCATCGACTACATCAGCACATCCAGAAAGGTGTTACAACACATATCCCCCGAGCCAGGCTCCAGGGATTATGCCCTTAGTGACCACGATGCAGTCATCTCACAGTTCGCCCAACATGGCAACCAGGAAGCCAAGGCCAACACCTTTTCGCACCACCCAAGGAACTCAAGATGCTGGGAGCCAAGTTGCCAAACCCCCCATCCAAATCACACCCTTGGGACAGCCTGGTGGACTTCGCGGCCAACATCACAGAAGCATATCCGAAAGCAAAGTTCCAGGAAAGCAAGCAACTCAAGCAACACCGTCACAAGCTGACCTCGGGGCAAATCCCGGCAGACCAAGCCCGGCAACACTGGAAACTCATCCAGGCAGCGCACAAAAGGGAAAAGAAAAAATGGGATCACACACAAGCAGTCAAAGCAGCGCGGGGCGACTGGCAAGCCTACAGGCAAAACAAAGACAAGCCACAGCAAATGCAGTGGGGGCACAGACTAATCACAAGCGCAGCCTGGCAGAGTCAGCTGACACAGCACTTTGAAGCCATTTTCAAACAACAGCCCCCGGACCAGGTTGCATCAGAGTTTGCAAGGATGCGCCAGTTGTTGAACGCAAGGTGCAAACTATGCCCATACAAACCCGTGGAGGAGGAGGAGATACGAGCCATCCAGGAAAAATGGAGACGTAAAAAAGCGACAGGACCAGACCGAGTATCCAATGAGGCACTCGACTTCTTCATGTCCCACAAAGAAGCGGCCTCCAAGCTAATCTGGGTGCTCGACGACGCGCTCTACAAGGGCAACAGCCCCTCCAGCGGTTATCAAGACATCACCGTGCTCCTCCCCAAAACAGCCCAGCCCGCCAGCTGGAAAGACACACGACCCATCACACTCAGCAACACAGTTGACAGAACCATGGCCCAGTTACTGCTACACAGATGCAACCACATCCTCCAACAAGCGCCACCGATACACCAGTTTGCAAGAACAGGCAAGCAAGCAAGCGAGCTACTCACCATCATAAGAAGAATGACGAGGATGTCCAGGGATTGGGGATTCAACCTTTGGATTCTCAAAATAGACATCCGCAAGGCCTTCGACACCATTAAACAAACATCCGTGGCAGCAGTGGTCGCAAGCAAACTGCAACACACACACCCCTGGGAAGCCAAAGCATGGCTTAGCATCATACACGGCGCAGAGCTCCACGTCATCCCCGCCCCCCCAGCAAGCCAGCAACCAATCCACATTGAGCAATCAAACGGTGTCCGAACCCGGACTCGCCAATCCTCTTTGCCCTCAAAGCAGGACAAATCCTGGAGAGCACCCTGGAAGCACACCAGACACCACCAACAGTACAAGGCAACCCGGGCCCCCCCCACGAGGGCGTGCAGTTCATGGATGATACCTACTTATGGGCAACCAACCTGGCAAGACTCCAGAGGATGGCCACAGATATCCAGCAAAGACTCCAGCAACACGGCATGAGCATACAACCAGACAAGACCCAGTTCATACAGAGTCACACCACAGAACAGCCCTCCACCATCAGACTAGGCAAGGAGACCATACAGGCAAGAGACCCAGCCACCCCCATTAGCGTGTTCAACCAACCTGTTTCCTTCCAAGCAAACGAAAGTCACCTTGCGGCCCACCTCGCCACCAAAGCCAGAAACGCCTTCCACAAACAAAAACACATCCTCACCTCCAGCGCACCCATCCTAGCCAAGCTCAAGCTCATAGCCACGACCATCACAACGGCGGCCCTTTGGGGATGCGAAAGCTGGCCGGTCCACCACACACTCCTGACGGCAGCCAACGCAGCACAGTACAGAGTCGTTGCCAGGGCCATGGGACTCAAGAGGAGGCCAGGAGAAACAGTCCATATGGAAACTCCACGGACACATCGCGCGACAGGAGGGGGCAGCGCCGGACAACGTGGCACAAGCCACCCTTCAATGGCGCAACCTAGCCTGGTGGAAAGCAGAGCAAGCCAAACCCAGAGGCGCCCGTCACGCCACACGATACAATCCGTTCCTAGATGTGGAACGGTATGTAGTCCACACGGCGGGGCTGAGCTGGCAACAAACAGCCAACAACAGACAGGCCTGGACACAATTGCAAACCAGCTTCATCCATGCCCATGACATACCCTGGAGCACAGGAAAGCAACCAAGCATTCAGAACCTGCGCCAAACGGGAGCAGCCAACACAACACAAGCAGCGAGCAACACGCGGACACTCATGATACACGACACGCGACCGCCTTCCTGCAGACAAGCCAAGCACACACCGCTCACCAAACACACAGCACCCAGACGCCGCAAGAAAGAAAGAAGAAGAAGACAGTTGCAGAAGGACAGAGCCTGGCAATCGCTGCTAGCACAGTTGGAGCATGACAGTGCATGAGGTCCAGTGCAGTAACAAATCAAGGCAGCCAGCAAGGAAAGCAGCCAAGACAACCACAAATCAGCAGCCACTCAGCTCAAGCAACCAGCTGTTCCTGCTCCTAGACTGTGGACAACCATGGTCAACCTCAACCACACCCTGCTGGTGCTCTTTGCCACGTTGGCGCACCGCAACGTGACCGCGATGGAGCACAACGACAACGACACGACGGAAGAGGCGTGGCCAAGTGAACAAGGAGATGATCACCAATGGGGAGATCGGCAGTGGAGCTCAAATTGGAATGGCGGCTGGAACCAGTGGTGGCATAGCCATTGGAACTGGGGCTGGCAGGAGCAAACCCAGCCCGAAACAGCCGAGACACAAGCGCTAGGCAGCAGAGACAATACACGCGACCGGCAGCGAAGCACCCCCAGGGGAAGCAGGGTCACAAGAACAGGAACAGACCGAGCCAACGCTCAACAACCAAGGAGCCACAGTACAGCAGCAGCAGCCGCACCAGCAGCCAACCTCCTCACTCACATTGCCCAACGAGGCAAAGAATGGGCATGGCACCGTCCCCAACCAGAATCATCACCCAGCCATGCCGTCCGACACAGGCCATGGTGGGACACGCATCCCATTGACCAGGGAGAGCCCGCGCAACCACAAGCCCTAGACACAACCACAGCAGACAGAAGGGTTTGCCAAACAGCCACGCGCAAGACCTCACGGCAGAACAGCTCAGAATCCACCCCTCAAGACTCCAAGCAGCCAAGCGAGCCCAAGCGTTGACAGCAGAAAGAAGGCAAGCTGCAGCCAAAGCACAGCAACGACCAGCGGGGACACAACCACAAAGCTCGGTGGCGCGCTCGGCCCAACCAGCGTGCGCTGGAGCCACAGCAAGCGGCCAGGAAGCCACACCACGTGCACCACAGCCCAAGAGCACAACAGCCGCTGCAGCAGAAGGAGACGCCGCGACACAAAACCCTAAGCCCAAAGCAGCACCAGCCACCACACGACAAGCGCAGTCTGCAGCACTTCCCAAAGCCACACCAGCCACCAAACAACAACAAGAGCAGTCAGGGCAGAGCTCAGCCTCAGAAGCTCAAGCCAACCCCCAAGCCAACGCAATGGCAGCCCGGTCACCTCCATCACATCCAGCGCCACCGCAACTTTTGGAACCGACGCAGCAGCAGCGCATACCAATGGCCAACAGACCCACGCAACACACCCCAACACCACACATGACAACGCAGCCACAACAACAACCGCAACAGCAGCAAGACCGGCCAAGAAGGTGGGGGCCACAAACACAGGAGGAGCAGCAGCGGTACCAGACCAACTTCGTGGCAAGACACAAGCAAGAGCAAGCGCAACAACAAGCCAACCCACCACCAGCACAGTGCGCCGCAGCTGAAGCCACCGACGAGCCGAACCAACAGACGGCCACACACAACACTGCAGCCACCGACCCAACACCACCACACGAGGGAGGCACGCAGCAAGAACAACCAAGCCAGCAGCCACTCCAGCAAGCAACAACGCACCCGCTGGCCAACCAACCAACCACCCAGCAACAGGGGCAGCAGCAAGGCGAAGTATGGGCCGCGCCGGGAGAGAGGCGGATCATCCCCAACTGGGAGCAATCCTTCGCGGCCAGACATGCCCGTCGGCGCCTACACCCCGCGGGTGCCCGCTCGCAGGCTACAGTCCCGACGGGAGTCCCGGAGCACACGGACCCGGAACCGCCGAGAGAACAGAGTTTGCACGTCACCGGCGATGCGCTCCCCGAAAGCCAGCAAGTGTGGCGAGTCACACGACTGGGGCACCAGCAATTTTTGTTGGAGCCGCAACCGCAGCAGCAAGCCACAACATTCTACCACGATTTCAGCACAGTCCCCCAGCAACAACAAGACACCGCTACAAGCCAAGAGGAAGCGACGCAGCTGCAGCCATCCACATCAACACACACATCCCCGGACAACACCCAACCCGAGGCAGGCCAATGCCCGAACCCGGGCCACCATGCAGAAGCGGAAGCAGATCAAGACATAGCAGAGGAAACCTCCTACATGCAGAGGTTCTTGAGTGGACCAAGGCCTGGAACAAAGCATAAGGAGAAGCCAGACCAAGAAGCAGCAACAAAGCACCAGTCAACAACCACACAGCAAGAAGCAGCAAAGCACGAGGACATCCAAGAGCAACAACAACCGCCGCAATACCACCAGCAAGCTAAGCCAACAGCGGCAAAGGCAAAGCCTCGAGACAGCAAAGCGGTCTGCCAAGCTACAACACAACACGAGGCAAGCAGCAGCAGCCACCAACCGCCACCACCATCAACAGATGGCTGCCACTTCACCGCCGTCCTCCAACACGAGCCTCCCTTCACGGCATTACAACAAGGACTGCCAGTGCTCAGAGACTTGCTCAGCCACGCCAGCCACCAAGCCAGAGCACAAGCCACACACGCCAACCAGCAAACACAACCGCACCTCATGCCACCACCACCACCTGTGCCACCATGCCCAGAAGAACTGCTCCTGGCGTTGCAGATCTCACAAACACTCACCACACACATTCAGACCCTCACCTCAAAAATACTCTCAGCTCACCACAACACACCAACACACCTCAACCAACCACACCACAATGACGTCATCGCAATAGACAGTCAGGAATCACCAGACCAGGAACAACAGCCAAGACCAGCGCCAGCAGAACCCACAACACCACTACCACTGGAAGTACACCTGTCACAAGCACACAACACAGCAGAAAGCACAGCAAGCCAAGCAGCCACACAAGCATGGCCACACGCTTCGACAACAGCAGCAGCCCAGGAAGACACAACACAGGCAGCGAGTGCAGTCAACGCCGAGGCAAAGGCAAGCCACGACACACCCCAAAGCAACAGCCAGCCACCAAGCACCACCTACCCAACAACAAAAGCGCACGCTAACACGGAACCGCAGCAGCAGCCAACACAGCAACCATGGTGGGTGCTAGGACATCACCTGAACAACCGCACCGCAGAAAGAAGCAGATCTCCATGCCAAAGAAACAACGACACAGCAATGCCGGCACCCCAGCAACCGCCGCGAATGACGCAGCAAGACGTCGAAGAAGACGACGACGACATGCTGCTGAACGAGAAGGCGAAGAAAAAGGGGGACTGAGTGCAACCACAAGAGATACTGAACCGAAGGCCAAGCAGTCTCACACCTTGACAAATATCCGACCGGGGCAAGATATCAATCCTAAACTTGGTGCCCTCCCAAAGTTAGTCTAACTGTAGTCCCCGAGGATATTAATCCACAAGTGTCACCGCACAGTCTTTTGCAGGGAAGATGCCAACCAAAGCAACAGTACGTGCCAAACCCTATGATGTAGCTTGATAGCCACCTAACAAGGCAACTCCCACACAGAAGCACCTCGCGCTGAACCTTAACAGGCCACTGGGCAACAAAAATCTCCTCGAAACAAGAAAATCAAGAGTGAAGAGCTGACGGGGACAGCAGCCCAAATCATAGTTACGCTGTTTTCCACACAGTTACCCCAAGGCAGTGCAAAGGTGCAGTTTCACGTAACCTAGGTGCTAGTTTCAAACATGCCCCACACAAAAGAGTTTACTGGTTTACAAGCTACTCTCCAGCGGTGGCAGGCTGTTTTGCAGTTACAGAAGTGGGGGCAAGAAGCGCTAGCCACGCACACCCAGAGGGAAACCACCTGTGGAAAGAGTCCAGCACAGAGGGAACATTTAAAATTGCATAGCTACTTAGTCTGGCCCAAACAGTTCCCCTGTGCTATGGAACAACGAGGGGTGTAGCAGCCGAGCTTGCCCAACACGGGCTGGGCAGAGACGCCCGGAGAGAGGGTTCACCCCCTCTCTCCATAGCCTGAACGAAAGAAAGAAAGAACGGGAGAGGGACACTGTTGGAACAGCAGCCACTTTGGCTCAAGGGAAACTCACCCCCCTTGAGCCACATGCTGTAACATTTCCAAGACAAGCTGAGGGAAATCCTGAGCCCCACTGACGGGAGAATTGGGAAAAAGAGGTCTGGTGAAGATTCTTATTGTTCGGCAGGCGAAGGCTCTGAGCTTTGTAGGAACCCGTCCTCAGGAAAGGCGAGTTCCTCGGCTCGCGAGTAGAGGATGTTGACGTTTTTCTGTAGCCTTTGAGTTTGAGATGCGCATGCTCTCTCATCAGGGTTTAGATCTTGTGGAGTATGTGGAGTGAGTTAGAGTGGCTAGCGAGGCATGGCCTGTGTAGGAGCAGATCCCGACACCTTGGCGCAACAGTAGGCAAAGCAGGCGACGGTTAAGGAGATGACCCTTGGAGTGACGGCGTTGGGATGCCCTCAACCAAGAGCGGGAAACAGAACGCACGGGTAGGTGAAGATGTTGCAAGATCGGAGCATATGGGAGCCAAGAATGTCCGGATACTTCGGATCTAGAGCCATATTATATGAAAGAAGACGTGGAGAAGAGGCATGGAAAGACAGCGAGAGAAGCGCCTGCTGCAGTGGTCGACCAAACCCAAGAAATTTGGTGGTCGCGAGGGCACTCAACAAATGCAACAAGTGGGCACATCTGCGATGACGTAGAGAAAAGTTGCAACATGCAGAACGGACAAAGGAGGCAAGAATGTCGTGCGCGTACAGGACACTGTCGCACATTGCCTGCTCAAACCGAAGCAAGGATGTTTGGCCAGGCTTGAGTCTAAAGTTTCGCATGCTGTGCGCACGAGCTTTTGCAGTGATTGGCATGCGCTTGGTTCCGTGCCGGTTGGTTGTGGAGAAAAATAAGAGGATGAGAAGACGAAGAAGAAGAGTGACGCAAGACGAAGAAGGAGAGACCTGCTGCAGCAGAAGGTCCAGTGGTCGGATCATCACCCCTTGTGCTCTGCCAGGCTTCTTGCCAACGCTGGATCCCATAAAACAGCTGCCCGCGCCGTGGGATCAGCTGATCTCCTTCTGCCCCCAGTCAACATCAGTCTTATCCATTTTTTGCAGCAGCTACGAGTTGTTTGACGCTGTGTCTTAGCTCATCAGTGTCTTTGAGACTGAAAGGTTTGCTGTATCCATCAGTTGACTCAGCTCGAACTTGAACACATGATGGGTTTCCAGTTGCAGGCTAATTGGGGCAGAGGCCTCCCTGCACTGAGAAACGGCCTCGTTTCCCTTGCACAAAGTCGATTTGCTCTTCCGTCGGGATCCCTCAAGTTTTTGACAGAATGGCGATTATTACGTAGCGGCTGGCAGCCGGGTCTTTGCTCGGCAGTTCCAGGTGGACAGACGGTGTAAGCTTGCACTTACAAAAAGTTTGGACCAGGTGGTTGAGCAGCTGAGGTGAACTACTTCCTGGCTTGAAGCTTTGCATGCAATATGCAGCCAAGGCTGTTTTCCTGCCGGATGGCAGAGGTGGTTGACGCTCAAATGTGTATCGAGCGCGTCAACGCTGAGAGTTCAGATTCGTTGCATGATCTTCCTTAGATCCCCTAGCTTTTTGCCCATGATGATGGCCATGGGTTCCTGCTGACGATAGATAGATATATGCATATAGAGATGTCCATTCCAATTTCATGACGTGATTCCCGAAGAAGGTGTGATGTTATAGAGCTAGGGCGGGTCTCCTCCGCCGCTCAGAGCGCTTTTGCACATCTGACTCCTCAGTTGAAGGGACAAGAGTGAGCTAGGTCTCCGCAAGATTTCTTCCCCGGCGGAAACCAGATGTCTCAGGAATGCTCAGATGCAGTTCCGGCGCATGGCGCGAACGATGCTGCAGCTTCCCGAGACCGAAGAGGATTTGCTCCTCGTGCGACGGAGGGCTTGCCTGAAATTTTCTGATTTTGCAAGCGGAATCCACGGTATGAATGTGCACGAAGGACAGCTTCAGTTTTGGAAAAATGTGTTTCATACCTCAGGCAATCGCAAGCTTGTACATGTCAAAAGCAACTCAGGGTGCGTTCCTTGGAGATGCTTTCCGAGGGGGAATTGGAGTGCCTCTTGGAGCACTTTGTCTGGGGAACAGCGTGCGCCCCGAACGGTATCCAACAGTCCTGCAAGGGCATATCATATCCACTTGTCCATCCGTGGGACACGCGAATGACTGCACAGTTCCAGCATCTGCAATGTGGTCCTGAAGCTGGCATGATGGAAGCTCGGAACCCACACTTTACGTGGTTTGTATGCAGCTGTGCGCGGTGCTGTTCATAATCCATGCTTTGGGAGTGCCCTCTCAAGGTTTGCATTCAGTCCTCGGCTACATTTGCCTCGCCTTTGCAGCCTGGCCGGCATTGCTTGTGCTTTGCACGCCCGTTTGGCGGGTAGATGTGAGTGGTTTGACATGCGCTCCTTGCTTGTGATGCCACACTAATTTGCATATAGTGATTGGTTCCACTGCGGGACCCCCTAACGAGCCAGATAGGAACTGTACCAGCGGTCCCCTAGCCGGAGCAACATTCCTTCCTGGATCATGTTTCAATGCATGAATTCTGGTCAAGTAGTGCTTCATGTCATGGGGTTAAAGAGTCAGGGGAAGACATTGGTGACCTGGGACCAGGTTCACGCCCCTGTGCATGTCTATGAGAACAACACTGTGTTATGTGACCTCCTCGGCCGCTTGGATCAAACGCCTGAAGGGCTTTTGATGTCTGCAGAAAGTGCGGCCTGCCTGGAAGTCATGTGTTCAGTCACTTGTGAGTTTGTCAGAGAGTGCACGCAATGGAGGTAACCTCCGTTCATGTTGAGAACGCGTGGTAATTTTCAATTTTTTTAGGAGATGATGGGGTCATGCGAGGGGATGGGGGGGTGACCATATGCAACCGGGATTGCAAAGCGCTGGGTTCCCGTTGTAGGTTTGTTCCCGGTGTCAACTGTGCGCTCGGGACCTGGAAGGAGCTCATCAGAAAGAATCGTCTTTTCAGATCCCCCGCAAAAAAAACACAGTGCAATCCTTGTTCTGTAGAATAAGACGCATTTAGCCGAGCATGCAGCCCGTCTAATCTGCCAGGCAAGGATGAAACTTTGACCGAGCTGCCGGATTGGCTGGGACTTCCCTGGCTGAAGGCGTTCGGACACTGCTTGCGGGTGCTTTTCTGCAGGCACAGAGTGGAGCAGCTAGTTCAAGCAAGATTTGTTCACAACACCGCTTGTGACCATTTGGTCTTATCATGTTTTATGTGTGTGTGCTGGATATGGGTCCGGTTATTGTTTTTGCAAAGGGGTGGCACGGTTCTGGTGTGGCTCTGGTCCTTTGATCCTCTGGTGCCGTGGTCCTCTGGTCCGCTGGTCCTGTGGTCCTTGAACATCCCCACCCTATAGCCGTTATTGCACAAGAAGTGTAAGGTTTCCCTGCCCCCCTCAACTGTCT